GGTGTGTGAGATGACTAATTTAGAAATCAAGTTTGCACCATCAATGACCCGAATGTCTCATACTCTAGCGATGCTTTAGTGACCTTGCACGTAGTGGGCGGTTGGTTTCTGTGGACAAATACTTTGTTTTACATATAACCCTGGTTGATTTTCTATCACAGAATCATGGAATTGTTAAGGTTGGAAAAGACTTCTAAGATCATCAAGTCCAACCATCAACCCAACACCGCCATGCCCACTAAACCCCAAGTGCCACGTCCACACATTTTTTGAACTCTTCCAGTGATGGTGACTCCACCACCTCCCTGGGCAGCCTGTGCCAATGCACCCGCCTTACCACAACCCCCTTTCAGGTACTTGTAGAGAGCGATAAGGTCTCCCCTCAGCCTCCTCTCCTCCAGACTGAACAACCCCAATTCCCTCAGCTGCTCCTCATCAGACTCGTTCTCCAGCCCCCTCACCAGCTCCGTTGCCCTTCTCTGGACACGCTCCAGCACCTCAATGTCCTTCTTGTCGTGAGGGGCCCAACACTGAACACAGTATTCAAGGTGCGGCCTCACCAGTGCCGAGTACAGGGACACTGTCCCTTCCCTACTTTAGAGATGGTATATTTGAGTGACAAACTGAGGTACGTAGGTGAAGAACAGGGTATTTCCTCATGCAACACCTTTTTTTCTGGATAAACGGAAAGCTGCAATTTCCATTTTGTTTTTCCAGTATTTTATTTCACTTTACAACTTTGTGGAGCTACGTCCTGTTCCCCAGTGATATTCAGCAATAGGTGCTGCATTTCCTCAAAAGTTTTCCCAAATACTGGGTTTGTAAACAAGGTACAGAACACCTCCTGCTGCTGGTGAACAGCACTGTATTTCTGTGCCAGCATGTGCTGGGTTGTTATCTGCACTGAGGTCTGACAACTTGAACTGAAGCCTAAGGGGAGGCTGCGGGTTTTGGAATATGGTTAGAGCTTCTGCCCTGCTCATATTTTTGTGTGTCAGTTCACTCAAGACAGTGGCACCTGGATGCTGTGGTAGATCAAAGAAAAAACTTATCATGGATGAATAATATATAATTTCAGTTCTACCCTGAGTTAATTAATTCATTTTCTCCATTCTGCACCTTGTACTTTGAGGGAGTTATTCCAAATCCAAAGGCTTCCCATACTGGTTGGAGCTATTTCTGTAGTCAACATCAGCTGGAGATGGCATCCTTCAAGACCACTAGACTTCTTCAAAGACTGAATCATAAAATAAAAAGATTTTCAGTTGAGGAGTTTAAGAAGCGGTTGAGTAAATCAGAAGAACCTGAAATCAAATGAACTTCTTTGATGAAGAAGAAACTGTAAAGGCAATTAGGCAGTGGTGGTTTGTAACCCAGCTTGAAGGCACTCTGGAGTAAAGACAGGCTCCTGACTTTTAACAGGTCTTGTTGAAATGGTAGCTGAGCTGGGTTACTCCAAGTCACCCCTTTGCAACTGCTGGTTTCTCAGTGTGGAATGTGTCTGTAGGACTCACAAAACTCAAAGCAGGGAAAGACCTTGGCATAAATACATTTCTCCAATCCTTCAAGGGTTAGTTTTCCACCTCTTTAGGTTGTGAATGTACATTGGGAAGGGAATAGCTACAGATTCTGGCCCGACCAATGGTCTACCTCCACAAAGCAGTCAACTGTGCGTTTGATTTCAACAGTCATCTTTTAACACTATTGGAAGCAGCGGTGGACTCTTTCTGCTGAAATAATCATGCTGAGAAATCCTGACTATTGGGGAAAAACAGGTTCAGCATTCAAATTACACACCCAGGTCTCTGTGAAAATGTGTAGCTAAAAAGTATCTAGGTGCAGACACAACTTCAGTTTCCTGCAGCAGAAGATGAGGCTTGACTGAGGCAGAAGAATTAACCTGGGAAATGGGGACAGGCTATTTGGCTTTTGTTTGAAGCCATGAAGAGTCAGACTGTAGTTCTAAAACAAGGTGGAGGCTTTTCAATTATCATTATATAAGTCTATTAAAAAAAAAGAGGAAAATGGGAACGGTAGACCAGATTCTCATCTGAGTTCTGTTAGTAAAACTCCATAGGCTTTGCTGAATTTACATTAGAGCAGCTTCAGATCTGCATCTTTTCAAGTTTACTTCAAATGTCCCCTTTGAGCCTAGAAATCTGGAGAACTTGGGAGCATTTGATGCAATCCCCAAGCAATACAAAGGGGAGCCTGTTCTAATTGGGACTGTCTCATTAGCATTCAACACCACACTGAAAAGATGACAAAGAGCTGTGGCTGACCTTTCATTTCTCTCCATGCTGCCAAGCTTATGATAACACTTGTTTGAACTTCATTAACACCATTTAATTGCCTGCATCACAATCAATACGATGTTTCCCTACCAAAGCCTGGCATGAAGGCAGGGATGTGGCAGACTGAAAAGGGGCAGAGCACAAAAAGCAGAAGCCAAAGAGTTTTTCCATTGCACACTGGTGCCCAAAATACCTGCAGTGCTATAGGGAGAGGAACTGGTGCTTTTTTCTCATCCCTGCAGGGACTTGGTCTCCTTTTGGCTGCTTATTGTGCATTAAAAATAACCCCTCAAAGAAAAGTTGGAAGTCAGTGGAGACATTGGAAGTATTCTTAACACCTTAAGAATCTTCCATTGAAGACCATTCAAAATAGGCTTGCCAGGTTTGGAACTAAAAGAAGTTTAAAGTGTCCTGATCTGTGGGAATCAGAATTATAACTTCTGCAGTTTATTATGTTAACCTTGGGTACAAACACTACCTGACCTAGCTGTTGGTACCCAGATCCTGGGTCTGTGATCTCATCTATTTTCTTTTCCTGAAACAACTACGATTTCATGGCATTAGCCTTTAGCTGTCAAAGTCTTAAGCTTGTTAGGAAATGCTGTGGGAGTACGTTTGGAGTATGCAAAATGGATAGTCTGTACCCATTCAGGATCTAACCTACATAACTTGTCAGCCTGTGGTTTCAGGACTCTGTAGTCAATAGATTGTAGTCTCTTCCAGTGCAGTTCTTGTGATGTCTGTGGGCCATTTTGCAGCTAGCTTTAGAAAGAAAGACAAATTGGACTAGTTTAGTACAATAAAGATTATATGCTGCATGCACCCTAACATTGTGAATTATTGAGGTTTTAAACAGAAACATTGGGGTGACTTCAAGGGCTTTCAAAGAGAACATCAAATAACAGGTGCAAATCCTGGCTCTACTTTAAAAAATGCAGTCTTCTGTGACTGCTTTCCTTGCCAGAAAGAAGGCTGAAGGTATAGCATACCAAGGGTCAAGGCAAGGGTGCACTGTCAGTAGAGATAATAAAAACTGGAGCCCAACTGGGATGGGCCTCAGGAGGTCAACCCAACCAGCTCCTGCCTCAGGGCAGGATCAGCTCTGTCTAAAGCCTTCCTGACAGATGCTTGTCTAGCCCTTTCTTGAAGGCCTCCAACGACAGAGCCTCTGCTCTCCTCAGGCAATCCGTTCCTGTGCTTCCTCGCCTTTCTCATCAGTGTTCTCCCTGATGGCCAGCCAAAATCTCCCTGGCTGTAATTAAAGCCCATGCTGTCTCATTGCATCCCCAGGGGCAGGGGTACAGCCCGTTCCCTGCATCTCTGCTGCAGCTTTTGGTGTATCTGAAGACTGTCTGTCTGTCTTCACTTTCAGTCTCCAA